TCCTGCTGGCATTACGGTATGAAACGTGGCTGGAGTGTGCTATCACTGAGAAAAGTATGGGAGGAAAGTCCCTTTTCAGGTGTGGGGTGTTCAAACTCCAAGCTGCAGAAGGGGGGTGGGAGCAGCCCATCAGCTCTTGCACAGAGACCCCGTGGAACTGCATGCTGTCCTTGGGTTTCTGAGGCGCCCTTGGTTGAGCAGGTCTACGTGGTCCTCTCCTCAGACCAGCTGGAAAATGACTGCAACACTTATAAAAACCATGAGTGAATCCTCTGGAGCTGTAGAGCCCTACAGCTCCAAAAGCAACATAAATTTGTCAAGGGGTGCCCATCACTCTCAAAGTGTAAAGAAACAGGATAGAGATAAATGTAGGGGAAAGCAAGAGATGTACTGCAAGGTTGTCACGTTGGGGTATGAATTTACCTTTTCATTAAAAACAAGGTCTTGGAGTTTGGGGAGGGCCTGCACTTAGTTCTGGATCTTGTGTCTTTGCTGCCCTTTTTATTTATTGATACACTTTAGAAAGCAGACGTTATTTTAAAGACATGAATATTTTTTATCTGAGTGCTACTGCCTACCAGAGGTTTTGATTTTATTTTGATTTTTTTTTTAAATGTTGGCTTTGAGTAGGAAGCTTCAACTTCACACCAATTCTACACATGCTCTTCTTCTGCTGTCCAGCAGTTTGGGCAAGATAAACCTGCAACTGAGACATCTCTCCACTAATCTCTATGGCTTTATCAGGATTTTATTATTGCTCACCTTACTGTGGACTTTGAGAAGACATGGGGATTATCTGAAGTAGTTTAAAATTATTTAATCTTTAGAATATCACTGGGATGCGAGCAAGTGTCCTTATATATCCACCCAGCCCCAGGTTTTGATTTTGCTTTCTAACCGGTAAATAAAGCAGGGAAGGCAGGGCCAGCTCAGCTGCCCGCAGCGATCTCTGTGGGGAGCCCGCCTCACCCTCAGCCTGTCCTAACCCCTCTGCTCCCACTCCTGATGCCTTCCCAAATCCTCAGTCCCCTCCCGACGCCTCTGTGCTGTTTGTCCTGCACCACCCCAGCGCTGGCAGGAGAGGGGACCCCCTTGGGCACTACCCCCTCTCACCCACCCTTGCAGTGGAAGGGAGCGTCCAGGCAGCATCGAGGGAGAAAAGGTCTCTGAAAAGCAGCAGAACTAGCAAGGTCTTGCACATCAAAGCAAGTCCTAAAGCAGGCAAAGCAGCATCTGGGGAAGGCAGAGACCCAGCCCCAACATCCCCCCCTTGTCTGTCCATCCACCTCGGCACAAGGTGGGAGGCAGCGGGCAGCTCCAGTGCTGGCGCCCTCAGCCTCCTCATCCATCAGGAGCCATGAGGAGGAACAGTGCTTGGTATCAGCCTGGGCATCTGCCTGCCTGCCAGGCTTGCTCTTTAAAGCAGGCTGTCAAGCACGGATAGCTGTTGAATCAATACGGACTTTATTCTATAGCCCATGCCTGGTGGCTGTGGATGCCACTTCTGCTGGCACAGGGTGGGCTGTGCCGCTGTACAGAGGGACGGATCTGGGCTATGAGGGAGACGATACCAGCGCTGACTCCTCAGTGCCCATCTTGGGTGACTGTGAGAAAGCAGCCAGACAGGAAGACTTCAGAGACGGCATCTCTGTGTTGCCACTGCCAGTCTCCCCCGCCAGCGCCAAACATGCACGTTTGCCAAGCACAGAGGAGAGTTTGGATATACTGCAGTCGGTCAGTCCTTCGGATGAGATGTGAAAGCAGAGGCCTCCTCCACCAGCCCCACAGGACCCGTCGCATGTCCTGAACAGACTATGAAAATCAGCCGACACCCAGATACACCATCTCCTCTTCCACCAGACAGCTTCTCATGCCCATCCCAAGGCTGCAAATTGCTGTGGATAATAGCTGTGATGTTTATCCAGACCATGGCTGCCTACCTGTGCTTGTGCAGAGGGTCCGGTGCTCGATGGTCCCATTGGAGCGGTGGTGCCCAGCTACTTGGAGCTTGTGTACTTGGTGACAGCCTTGGTGCCCTCCGAGACAGCGTGCTTGGCCAACTCTCCCGGGAGCAGCAGGCGCACAGCCGTCTGAATCTCCCGGGAGGTAATGGTGGAGCGCTTGTTGTAGTGGGCCAGGCGGGAGGCTTCTCCAGCGATGCGCTCAAAGATGTCATTGACGAAGGAGTTCATGATGCCCATGGCCTTGGAGGAGATGCCGGTGTCGGGGTGGACCTGCTTCAGCACCTTGTAGACATAGATGGAGTAGCTTTCTTTCCTGCTCTTGTGTCGCTTCTTATCGCCCTTCTTCTGGGTCTTTGTCACGGCTTTCTTGGAGCCCTTTTTAGGGGCAGAGGTGGACTTCGCTGGCTCCGGCATCCTGAGAGCTCTTTCTCTGGGTCTTGGAGCTGCTTGGAAAGAACATCAAAAATTCAAATGCTTTTTTATTCTTCTGCAGTATAGTTTTACTGAAAGATGAGAGAGTCTGAGTCGCAGACAAGTGACATCTCTGAATCTGAGACAAACACCCCAGGACCCCGTGCAAGCACTTTTGAGCTGCCAGTGAGAACTGCTCTGGTTTGTGTATGGATTTTTTGTTGTCTGCCTAAATCCCTGTAACAGTGGCCTTGTAAACATCACTGAACGCAGGCCTAGTTGGCATCTACTTTGTAAATATGGGCTATGGGTGAACATATTTCTGAGAAGAACATTGCAGTTCTAAAGAAAACACTAACTGCAGCATGGATTAAATTAAATCTTTATGGAATGGGCTGGAGAGTGTTGCAAGATATCACTGAGGCCACTTTTCTATGAGATTGATCAGAACTATTTTATATGGTTATTACAATCTCCAACAGACCTTTTTTTTTGTGCGTGTAGGTAAAAGTTTATTCTGAGAGTGCTTGCATTTCCATGGCTATTGTTTTACACCATGTGTTCCAAAGGAACATAAAAATTATCATAGAATCCTAGAAACCTAGGTTGGAAGGGAACTCAAGGATCATTTGGTCCAACCTTTCTAGGCAAGAGCACAGTCTGGACAAGATGGCCCAGCACCCTGTCCAGCTGAGTTTTAAAAGCGTCCAATGTGGTAGAGTCAACCCCTTCCCTGGGGAGATTATTCCAATGGTTGACTGTGCTCATTGGGAAAAATTTCCCTCTCACATCCAATTGGAATCTCCCCAAGTAAAAATATAAAATTTTTTACAAAGAAAAATATTATAACTGTCCACCACATGCACACCCCCACAGTTTTCTCCACTGAAAAGCAAACACAACATCTTTTAATCAGTACTTTCTGCGAGGTAAAAACCTGCTGTTTTAATGAATCTAGCTAGCTGAGATACTGGAATCTCTCCGTATTCATGTTAGCTAGCAAAAATACCAGAGAGCAGAAAAGCTCAGAGGAGGTGGCAGGAATCACCTGACAGAGAAACAGGAATGTGGACGGAAGGCAAAAATCAAAGCGCTTTTGAGCTACGTGTCAATGGAGAGAAGCTACATGAACTGAAATTGTTTCCTGCTATTTGGTGCTTTTTGCTTTTGGGTGAGCAGCCTCCGCTGGGCAGTTTACATGAAAGACGCCTGATCCCCGCCCTGAGTTTTTCTTCATTAGGTCACAACCTGCAGAGCCCCAACCTGCAGCTGACTGCTCTCATCCGGAAGTGGTGTAACAAAAAGACGGTATGCAAACCTGACATAAAAGGGGTGCCTCCCCTACACTACATCTACACGTGTTTTACTTTGTGCATCAAGGGAGTAACTCTGTTGTAACTGTAAACGGTTCTGTGTTTCAGAGGACACTTTGAGTGCTTTGCTGGAGGATCAGCTTCCAGCATTACCCCAAGGCTTGGGCTTTTACTGCTCTGCGCCTCCTTTGATGATGACCCATGAATTACAGTCTGTTGGCCAAGACAGACTAGAAGAGAAAAAAGAGCTTCAGGGCTGATGGCACATGGCAAAATGGATAGAAGTAAACAGAGAAAATCAGAGAAATCTGGGACGTAACATATGGTCTGCACACACAGAGTGTCAGAGAAGGACCTGAACGGTGCCTGTGCCAAAGCTGTGGCTTGCGTGCTCAGCCCTGCCTCTCCTCCTTCAGAAGGGATGAGATGCCACCCTCCATCCCTGCCTGGATTCTCCACTACTGTCCGCATCTGCAGTCAAAGCTGAACACAGCAGCTGTCTTGCAATCAAGTCTTTAAAAAATTCCTGGTTGCTGCTTGTGGGAACAGATGCCTTCCATGCTGAGGCTGGATTTACATGCCCACGTCTCGGTGGATACCAGCTCCTGCTTCCAAACTGTGCAAGAAACCTCTGCAGCTCCAAACCCTCAGTACGTGAGATGCTGCCTTCCACCCATTTTTTAAAGGTCACACCTACAGGACATCTCCATCCATTTGCCCAGCTAATGCTCTGGGGCAGTGCAGCCAGGATCTCACTCTTCTCCCTTGTATGTCTGTGATGACAGAAGTAATGATGCTAAAGTTCAGAGATCAGCACAAAAGCTTTGGTGCCCTTGCTTCCCTCCACCCATTTCTTCACAGTCTACTATTTAACAGGTAAATAACACCTTCTTTGGGAACAGGTTGTCTTTCTTCCAGTTTGGTTGGGCAGTGCCTAGCACAAAGAGCCTGACTGTGTTTGCCAGGTGCTAACTAAATAAAGTTAATAATGGCCAACAGTATCACCAACCCTTCCGTCAACAGTGTAATGCACTGCACAGGCGGGTGCTGCTCTTGTACGAAGATAAAAGTAGTGGGATTATTCCCAAAGCGTCCATGTGGAGAGTTTGTTGAGGGAAAAATAGGTGACCTTTAAAAAATGGGTGGGTTTGCGTGAAAATAGTTGCATTTCCTTCTTTTTCCTTTAAATAAAAGAGAAAACTGGAAGAGGTTAAGAATGATTAGTTTTTGTGTTTGGAAGTATTGCTGTCATGACTGACGTCTACTGTGAGGGTGACTGAGCATTGGCAGAGGTTGCTCAGAGAAGTTGTAGGGTCTCCATCGTTGGAGATACTCAAAACCCAACTGGACGTGGCCCTGAGCAACCCACAGTGGCCAACCCTGCTCTGAGCATGGGCTGGACTAGATGGTCTCCGGAGGCACCTCTAGCCTCAGCCATTCTGTGACTCTTGGATACTGAAGCTGGTACCTCTTGCCTAGAATGTGCTTTATGAGCTGTGTTCCCTTGATGGACACTTCCTATGGGATACTGCAGCCAGAGACTCCCACAAGGACCCCTAAGGAGGGGAGATGGGGCTCATCTCCAGGTTCAAGCCACCCAGTCCCTGGGACACAGGGTAATGGCCATGCATGAGGAGGCATTCTGAAGCATCACGGTGGCAGCTGGAAGGTTTCAGGGTTTTGAGGAAAATCTTTGGGCACATTTTTTTCTTTACAGCTTTGTATGCTCTGAGTCAATCCGTTATCAGCACTGGCATTTTTTCCTTCCTCAGAAAACCAACAACAAAACCAACCACAGTATTTTTTCTTGCTGGCTCCGAGCAGCAGCCTGCCTGCTGCTAGAAACCAGAGCGGTGCGGAGTGACAGATACATCTTCCTTTGTGTTGACATCCCTTTCTTCAGCATCATTAAAAGGAAAATGAACTGAAAACATATTCAAATATACAAATCACCACAGTCTTTCAGATCTGAGATGGGAAAGGAGCCCTGCTGAGAAATCCTACAGGAAGCCTGATGCTGTCTCTGTTTCCCCTAGGCCCGATATATTGATGGAGAGACGGGCAGGGAAGCTCCCGCAGCATTTTTGTTCGGTTTTGGCCTTGCTCCTGAGTCTGTAGGACCAGTTGCCAAGCTGGTGCCAGCAGTGGACTATTCGCTGGCCTTTTGGACCCCTCTTCATGCAAGGGCAGAATTAGCACTTGGATCCTTCCTTCTTTTTTCTATTAAGAGCTGTCCTTGCTGTGACGAGCTCTGTGGCATCCACTGGAAATCCCCCTGCCCACCAGGCTGCTCCCTTGCTGTAATTTCCTAATCAACCATAAGAGTTAGATTTATAGAACTGGCACTTTGTTCTTAGGACGTTTTGGTGAAAAAGTAAACATTTGTGGGAAAAAACATAAGCTCTCATCTTTTGGACATCTGATATTTTGGTATTTGCTCATCTTCTGATGATCTCTTAATCCTTGCTAGAGTAAATGAGAGCTAACAGGCTCTGTCTAATTATTGTCCCTTTCCTTAGTTTCTCTTGCTGTATGAAAAAAAGAAAACTGGGCTTTAATCCTATGCGTCAAGAAACGTAAAGTTAAATTAGCTCCTGCTTTTTGATTTACTCTCTCTGAAACACAAAGAAGGGCAACAAATGAGGGAATGTTTCCACTGAAAGGAAAAGGCTTTCTAATGGCTTCATCTGCTCCAGAATGCTTGTTAGGAGCACAGAGAGCAGATCTGGTAAACACAGTTTACAAATTACCAGATGTCAGCAAATGACCGCTGTTTCAACAGCGCATTTCTGCAGACTGCAAATCCCCTCCCTTTTATAATGTACAGCGATCTCCCTGGAAGTTATTGAACAAGAACTTGCTCATCCAACAGGTGCCATGAAGTAGTAGCAACTGAGAAAACAAGCAGATATTTGACGGTTGTTTGGTAGCGAGCTCTGCCTTAGGTAGTAAAGCAGACCAGAAGCACGATGAGTCACCATGAGACATCGGTGATGCTGCCTCATGTGCAAAAACTAACAGTCATATTTTGGACTGGAAAGAATTTTTCTCTTGGTATGTTGTCTAGCATGTGATGATGAGGTAATATTTGCTTTCTTCTGAAGAAATGAGGAGGAGAATTTCCTAGAATAAGGTAAACTAGTCTGAAATGCCCAATTTCTTCCAATGGTGGAGGGGCACAGAGATCAGTTTGGGGATCCCAGGTCGCCACCCAGGTAATCCAGTATCAATAATAAGGCCCCATCCCAAATCCCACATGCTCTGCTGCATTTTGTATGATTGCTCCTGTAAAGTTATCATTTAAATGGCTAACTTTTAACCTTGGATACAGACACGCAATTCTTCTCATGAAGAGATTCATGCTTGCGTATTGGACCATGAAAAGATACTAAAACTGAGGATGCCTCCTCCCCCTTAACAAAGAAAGAAATGCTACAAACTCACTCCCTGGCGCAGATAAGCTATGTTCAAAGTGGTGTTTAGATTTCTTTAGCAGAAACACAAGCAGAACAGAGCAACTGAGATACACCGACACCCTAGCTCTTTGACTGGTCCTTATCATTGCTTGCGTTAACACATTGCCTGGGAGTTCAGTACAGGATACTGCCTACAGTAATCTTTTATTTTCTCATCTTTTTTAGCATTTCCATTTATGATTTTAGAAAACACATTTTTAATCACCAGCAACAGCTGTAATTTCTTGTGCTACTTCTGCCT